ACGTTTTTTTTTTTTGGGGGGGGGGGGGGTTTCGTATACGTTTACCAAACTGCCTACTACGTCGACAGTCGCTCGGACACGTTTTGTACCCACTTTTATATACACCAAAGTTGACCCGGAAGTCCGTTCAGAGGATTTGACCTTTTCATTTGAATAAAGTCAAAGATAGTAATAGTACATAACAAGATGGTCCACTCAGCCTAAAAATTGTCCGCCGGAAGTCCGCTCTTTGCTTCAGATGGCGCTGCAGTCTGTTTTGAAGCTCTCTTTCGTTTCTCCAGAAGAAAAATAGGAATAGCACCTCCTTGCGTGCACAGATCGACTGCTGTCCATCAGCTGTTCGGGTTCGTTCAGTGCGGAGTTTTAGTTTTTAAATTTTATTTTAATGACCTCTCGCCTTTCATTCTGAAGTCTAATTAAACGAAGAAAACAGTCACCCCTTCCTCCGGAAAAAGCTTTTTGTCAGCGTAACCATTTAAAAAAAGAGTTCTTCCGAAATTTGAATTCTTATTTATTAAAAAACTTGTTAGTTTCACTTTGATTTTTTAAACACAAGTAGGGTAACTCTGTTCGCAAAGGGTGAGCATTTGCGAAGAGGGCGCCACCGAATGTTGAGGACACTTTTTTAATTGGCTCAAAGAGGGGAGTGGACCCTCTTGTTATGTACCAACGTGCGCCAAAATGGTAGCCTAGCTTTTGCTCCTCCAGGAAGGAAAAAATATGTACCTCATTTAAACCACCGAGATCTGAGTTAAATGTTCCGTATTGTGTATTGTTCTTATTATTTTCACTATACATTATGATTTATAAGGTATTCACTTGAGACAAAACTGTACTAAATTATGAGAAAGGTGCTACGTTGCGAAAGTGGGACGAACTCAGTCGTGTGAAAAGGGTTGTTTTGAGCTATGGCCTAAATAAGGTCACCTGCGGGCCTGCACGGTATATAGGTCATATGTGGTCTAAATAAGCACTCCCATCAATAATAATAATAGTATTAATCATAATTATTATTAGGCCTAATAATAACAGGCCTAATAATAATAATAATAATAATAATAATAGTGAAGATGATTATGAAGATGATAATCCAAAAAAGGATACAAATAATAACAAAAACAACAAGCAACAGTCATCATCATCATCATCATCATCATCATCATCATCATCATCATCATCATCATCATCATCATCATCATCATCATCATCATCATCATCATCAAAGGGGCTGCTTGGCTACAGCTCGGACATGTGCCGCAAGTTCAGTGAAGCCACAGCCACAATAAAAATCAAGTGGTTTCCAAGTCATGTTGGAATAGAAGGAAATGAGGCAGCAGACCAAGCTGCTAATGAAGCCAGAGAGATTGAAGGAGACAGACGACCAACAACATACAGAGGAGTCTTTCCAATTATCAAGAGGGAAATCAGAGACCCACAATGCAGAGCTAAGTACCAGCGCCTGGAAGATGTGTATTCTGGGTACTCCTATGAGCGGGAACAAAATATCACATGTCGCTGGGACCAGGTTGAGCTAGCGAGACTGCGGTCGGACCATCATTGGAGCTTAAGATGGTATAAGAACTTTGTAAATGAAGAGCTCAGCCCATGTTGCCGAAGTTGCGGTCATGAAAAGGAGGATGTCAAACATATGTTTGAATGTCCAGGAACAATGGCGATTTGAATGGAGTTATTTGGACGAGTGGAGGTCCCGCTAAGCATATTGGCAATGGAGCCGAAAAAGAGCCTCGCTCTCGTTCGAAGATTTCTTCGAGGAGTCCGCCAGGCCCATTAAGGTAACAAAAAAAATCATCATTCTGCTGTAACTTGACCTCTTGTATCCACAGGCTTGCAGAAAATGGGCATTTCTGTGGCGCTGATCAATCACAACCTGCGGTCCCAGTCTCTTCTGCGCAGCGTTCAAGCAACACAGCCCAGTCACCTCATCGTTGGCGCAGGTAGCCGTAATCATAATATGTGGGGTGTGCTTACAAAATGAGTTACTTGTTGCAATTCACAAAAATGGAGATATTGGCCAAAAATCGACACAAGAGTCAAATTTGAAGATTTTCTATTGATGTCATATTCTTGAACTATAGCCTGTCTTTTATCATGTCACATTTATCTTATAAATTGTAAAAATTCACCAATAAGCGTGACGTATTTGTTTTCTTAAGGCTTGAATCCCAGAAGTAACTCATTTTGTCAGCACACTTCACATATGTATACATACACACACATACACACATACAAACACACACACACACTCACAAACAAAACAAACACACACACACACACACATATATATATATATATATATATATATATATGTATATATATAAGTATCTATCTATATATATATATATATATATATATATATATATATATATATATATATAT